GCTGAGGTCAAGAAGGTGCAGGAGTTTAGGTATTTGGGGTCAACAGTCCAGTGTGACGGGAGTGTGGAAAAGAGGTGAAGAGACGAGTGCAGGCAGGTTGGAGTGGGTGGAGAAAAATGTCAGGGGTGTTGTGTGACAGAAGAGTGTCAGCAAGAATCAAAGGAAAGGTGTACAGAACAGCAGTGAGACCAGCTATGATGTATGGGTTGGAGACTGTGGCAGTGAGGAAGAGACAAGAGGCAGAGCTTGAAGTAGCAGAGATGAGGATGTTGAGGTTCAGTTTAGGAGTGACGAGGATGGACAAGATTAGGAATGAGCACATCAGAGGGACAGCTCAGGTTGGTTGTTTTGGAGACAAAGTCAGAGAGGCCAGGTTGAGATGGTTTGGACATGTGCAGAGGAGGGATAGTGGTTATATTGGAAGAAGGATGCTGGAGATGGAGATGCCAGGCAAGAGGTCAAGAGGAAGACCAAAGACAAGATATATGGATGTGCTGAAAGAGGACATGAAGGTAGTTGGTTGGTGCAAGAGTAGAGGATACTGAGGACAGAGTTAGGTGGAAAAGGATGATTCGCTGTGGCGACCCCTAAACTGGGAACAGCCGAAAGTAAAAGAAGAAGATAGGACTATAGATATGATCTCAGCGCTCTCATGGTAATAAATTGCCATGGCTTTTGTTAGTCTCTCTGTTCTTTAGTTATTCTTTTCTTTTTCTAAGTGTGACTCATTATTTCTTTCAGTTGCCTCATTAGGGATCACCTGCCGCTAATGGGCTCTAATTAACCTGCCTATTTAGAGGCGCTTCTCTCTAACTGCATTGTCGGATTATTACTCTCTATACTCAGTACATAGCGGGTGGCTTCTTACCTGTCTCTCTGGCTTCAGTCATCCTTACACCATTCCGGTCCTGTCTAGTCCTGTTGGGGGTTGCGGACTTCCCTTTTGGATTCCTCTTTCTACTCTCTCCAAGGTCGGTGGTTGTTCGGACGCAGAGGGGTCTCGCCACGTTCCCCCTGAACTTCAGTTTTCCATTTTGGTTTTGAACTGTTTTATTACTCCAGTATATTTCAGTTTGTTTTTCTGGCTTGCCTGGCCTGTGGCTTATTTTTCCTTAAAGAACTCTGGACAATAAATATCTGTTTTTTGTTACATTTCTCCTTGCATCTGGGTCCTCATTCCTCACTGAGCTTAACACTTTCATGCTGGGGCAAAAGAAAAGATAGAAACTGCAATCTCTCAAACACCTGTGAACACACACGGCATGTAGAGAAGAACGCTAAATAGCTCCTATTGACTCCTGTACCTGAAGGAAACTCCTAGGTTACCGCTAAGACCACACTGGTAAAGGAATAATGATTCTTTAGAAGTCAAACTCTGCCTTTATAACAAAATAACAATTCTCTCTGCTTTAGTTGTTACCACAGAGGGAGCAAGTGAGAGGCTTTGTTTCTCACACTATGGCCAGTAAGCTTTATTGCAGGCTGATTAGAACCGTAAATACCATAACCTTATATAATGGTATGAAAGACACATCAAATGAATCATGATCTAATGGCTACATTAAGTTCTAAATGAAATAAAATGACATTAAAAACATGAACTCAATTAATATTGAATCACAAACCAAATACAGCTGAAAAATTAATATTATTTTTGAACTCCAAAAGTGACAGTGCCATGTTCATATTTGCCCCTTCTATACTTAAGGTTTGTCGTTTAAATTACAGTATATTGTATCTTGCTTCTATGCCGTGTTTCTCCTTTTTATTACAGCTAAATCCCGCTCATTTTTAGGTTTCAAAATATAATACAGCTTTAAAAGTTTATCCAGCTTTATCCACTATTCTACAGCAGAAAGACTAAAGATCATGAACAAACAAATATATTTAGGGCATGTCAGCCCTAGTGCCGGAAGAGTTTTCCGCCAGATCTTCATCCATCACCGTCATTGAAGGGGCTTTTTTGATTAACAAGCTGAAATTAACCAAACACCTAAGGGTGAGGACTGCACAGTATCCCTAGCACCATCTGGGTCCCTTGTATTGCCATCAGCTATTTTCAGTATAACAGATGTTCTCGACCTATAAACTCAGGCAGAGTGCTGGAAGGTTCTTCTCTTTCTACCCTAACCCCTTCAAAAGCTTCTGATTTAAATCTGAATTTACAATCAGGTGAGGGACAAAGAACCACTGGCCTGCTGAATTAAGGCCTTTACACACCTTTTGTGTCTGCGTCTTGAGCTCCCCGCGTCTTTCTTTTGCGTTAAATAATTAGTGCACAGACACTCTCACTAAAGGCTCTTCCATATTAGATTGGTTTTTCGCACGGAGAACGATGATTTGAGTAGGATGTAAAAGAGCCGCTTCGTGGCAATCAGGGAACAGTTCGCACAAGAAACCGATAAGAAATAGCGAGCAACAAATCCTGGAAACATGATTATATCTATGTAATCTTTTGACAGTGCATCTGTTGTATCGGAAACGCCACCTTCATGCAGGGAGTGTCATTGCATCAATATTTCCTCGACACAGAGGAAGAGCTGAGAAACCATCCAAAGATTTGTGCAAATCTCATTTCGGATCGGTGTGTAGAGGCCTTTATACTCAATTTTTTTTCTTTGCTTATCCATGCTTGTGACAGAACAGTCCCTGTCTGCCACTTATTATTTCTTTTTATTGAAAGAAATTAAACTGTAATGAGTAATCTGATTTTTTCAGGTTTGCAGCCATGTGACCGGGCTCCACCAAATCCTGTCACTGATGGATGACTCGGTGACTTCTGGTAGGAGAGAAGAGATTTTAATAAAGATGTATATGCATTGGAAATGGGTTTATATTTATATGAATAGGCAATGATGTATGTATCCTATAATTATGCAGCAAATTTTTGGCCATTGTATTGATTATGCAAGATGTGTAGAACTTTGATAATGGTTTGCTTCAATTCCGGTTACACCTGAAAAGGAAAGAGTTGATTGTTACCCAGTTAGGCTGGAATTCTCACTGATGCTGGTCATAGCGTGATGGATTGCTGATGCCTCATAACCTTTCCCTTTTATCATGTGACTGTTCTGGTTACGATATTTATTTTCTCATTAGGTTTAAGTATCTTTCCTGCTTGACTATTCTTAACTGTTTTTTAATGCCTGCGTTTCTTTCAGTTTTGTGTACAGAGCGACTTGACATTGGTCATGACATTACCTTTGAACATTTAAACTGCTAACTCTACGTGTTTCTGTAAACGTGTGTTTCTCATCTATTAATTTGATTTGCCAATGTCTGGGATCAGCCCGGCAGCACAGTGGCGCAGTGGGTAGCACTGTAGCCTTCCAGGTAGAAAGTTGTCGGTTCGAGGCTCGCCGGTGACCTTGCAAAACATGGAGTTTGCATGTTCTCCCTGTGCTTGCGTGGCTTGCGGGTTCCCTGTGCTCGCGTGGGTCTCCCTGTGCTTGCGTGGGTTTCCTCCAGGTACTCCGGTTTCCCCCACAATCCCCAAAAACATGCGATTAGGTTAATAGAATAATCTAAATTCCCCTTAGGTGTGCATGTGTGAGTGAATGTTGCCCTGTGATGGACTGGCGAACTGTCCAGGGTGTACCCCCGCCTCTCGCCCAATGTGTGCCGGAGATAGGCACCAGCACCGCCGTGACCCCGAAAAGGGAATAAGTAGGAAGAAAATGAATGGGATCAGTGAATTAGTATTGTATTTAAGACTGATTGACTGACCCAAAGGGTATGCAACCAACGCAACATCTTTGGGTTCGATCTGCTATCTAAAAATCGTTGCCTTGATATTTTTGCCTCATTTTCCACCACACTGTGAACACTGATTTGAACTACAGTACTGCTGGAAGAAATGAACTAGAGAGGTCTCGATTTCTTTTCTATATATTTCCAGTCTTTGTTATTTTGTTCATACTTTTGTTGCTTGTTTGTTGGTTTGTAACCTTTTGTTTTTGCAAATCCACGAGGCACAAGTAAAACACCTAACTGGATCTCTTTGAACTGCTCTTCTTTCTGTCCTGCTTGGTCTCCTGGTTACTTCCGCGACAATGCTACTTTTTACGAGTTAGTTTGCTGCTCAGATTTGTTTAATCTACTATCAAATAAAGTACCCTCCTCATACTATCCATGGGGTAGCCTCTCTTCCCTTACACTAATCAAGTATTGTAATTGTTACACTGTCATGGCTCTTTGCATCTCGCCTTGCCCTAATTTTCCCTCTGCACCTGGTCCTTTTTCATGCACTCCTTAGAGCACATTTATATCATTTTATGCTGTCTTTATGGACTATTGTCATGCCAGAGCCTGTGATCAGTCTAAGTCTCTTTAAGCCACTTGTTCTCTACCTTTTTTTTTCAGTTTAGTTGTCCCAACCTGATTTTGTGGTGCTTCTGTGAAGGTGTTCTGTTTATCCGCTGCAATTGGGCCCTCTTCTATCTCATTCGTGAAATGACCAGATCACTATTTAAACCTAATCAATCCTTGGACATTTGTTTCAGCTACCATACCCTCACCTCTTCACCACACTCAACAGGCCTTTCGGTTCCAGATCACCATCTGTTCTCAGACTAATTTTTTGGACAGCTTGCCTAGTAGACTTTATATACCTGTTATCAACACTTGTGATATAGGCTAAAGCTTTTGTTGAGATTAATCTTTTGGAGGACTTCCTTTACTGTCCAGAGAGTAAACCACTAGAGCGGTTCACAGACCCAGGAGAATGGTCAAAGACATTTTGGATAACCTCTCACCAGTTTTGAGAGTCTTTGTCTAAAAGATCTCATCTTCAGATCTCAGCTTCAACAAGTTCTCTTGTTAGAAGCCTAGTTTGTAGCTCTTCTGTTTATTCTTAGAGTATCCCACTCTTATTTTATCATTATCCATTGTCACCTTTCCCCTATTGTCTTATTTAAAAGTGTCTAGAGAGATTTAAATATTTTTACATTCTTTAGATATTCTTCTTAACATTCTAATGAGTATCGCTCTTCCTCCACAGCTTTCCTGTGCCTCAGTTGGTAGAGCATTGCGCTAACAACACAAAGATTATCGGTTCACTTCAAATCCCAGGGCAAGCAAGAACTGACAGAAAAAAAATGTTCATTCAAATGAAAGTTGCTTTGGATAAAAGTGTCTGCTAAATGCATAAATGTAAATGTAAAACAATGTTCATTTCTTTCCCCTTTTATGATTTTTCCTTGTAAATATTTCTGTTGAATTATTTATTCCCTACTATTTGCTATGTCTTTTTACCTTGTCCTGCCCTGCTCAAAAACAACCACACGGGCCGCCTCCCGTAGAACGACACGACCAGGACTGAAGATGGTCCCAGTTGGAATGTAGTGTATGTAGATGTGTTGAAGAGGTAAGATGCATTAATTGGGAGTGGTGTCCTGGAGCATCACAGTTGGTTTTACAGATGATGTCTCTGTACCACCCCCCAGTCCCTTCATGACTAATATGTATGTAAAATAAGAGTGTAGTCTTCTCTGTTGTAGATGGATGGAGGGGTCACAGATCTGCAGCCCCATCCAATGGCCCTGGATTGAGAGACTAGCCCTCCAGTCCTAAGTGTAGTGTGTCCATGAGGGGCACAGGGGCTGACTAGCCCCTGAAGTGAGTCAGTGGCAGATGTTATTGACCTTGTGATCGCTAAATGTTTACGCAACCCCCTTCATGTGATTCATCACCTTGCTACGATATATACTTTCTACTCAAATAACGTATGCTAACAAAAGCAATGTATCGAGAGCATAAATTGATATCCCGCATATATCAAACAATGCTTTAAGTCGTGATGGGTTCATTTGAGACTTTGGTGCCTTGTGTTTATTTGTGGATTGGAAGCACTTGATACTGGACTCTTGTTTCTTCTGAACCCGGGTGGCATACTATAATATATAAACTCCATTCTATTGGTCCATTCACTTTTCTTTTATAGTTATAGTTGACTTACACATGTGGACAGAATTGTTGGTACCCCTCAGTTAAAGAAGGAAAAACCCACAATTATCACTGAAATCACTTGAAACTTACAAAAGTAACAACAAATAAAAATTTATTGAAAATTAAATAATCAAAATTAGCCCTCACTTTTGAATTGTTGATTAACAATCATATTTAAAAAATAGGGCTGGACAAAAATGATGGTACCCATAACTCAATATTTTGTTGCCCAACCTTTTGAGGCAATCACTGCAATTAAAGATTTCTGTGTTTGTCGATGAGCGTTCTGCAGCTGTCACCAGGGATTTTGGCCCACTCCTCATGAGCAAACTGCTCCAGTTGTCTCAGGTTTGATGGGTGTCAGCTCCTTCCACAGATCTGGGCTCATGGAAGGCCACTTTAGAACAGTCCAACACTTTTCTCTCAGCAGTTCTTGGGTGTTATTGTCTGTGTTTTGGATCGTTGTCCTGTTGGAAGACCCATGACCTGCGACTGAGACCAAGCTTTCTGACACTAGGCAGCACATTTCTCTCCAGAATGCCTTGATAGTCTTCAGATTTCATTCTACCTTGCACACATTTAAGACACCCTGTGCCAGATGTAGCAAAGCAGCCCCAAAACATTACTGAGCCTCCTCCATGTTTCACCGTAGGGACAGTGTTCTTTTCTTTGTATGCTTGGTTTTTGAGTCTATTAACATAGAGTTGGTGTGCCTTACCAAAAAGCCCCAGTTTGGTCTCATCTGTCCAAAGGACATGCTCCCAGAAGCTTTGTAGCTTGTCAACATGCATTTTTGCAAATTCCAGTCTCGCTTTTTTATGATTTCTTTTCAGCAGTGGTGTCCTCCTTGGTCGCCTCCCATGAAGTCCACTTTGTCTCAAACATCGACGAATGGTGCGATCTGACACTGATGTACCTTGGCCTTGGAGTTCACCTTTAATTTCTTAGGAGGTTGTTCTGGGCTCTTTGGATACAATTCGAATGATCCGTCTCTTCAATTTGTCATAATTTTTCATCTTGCGGCCACGTCCAGGGAGGTTGGCTACTGTCCGTGGGTCTTGAACTTCTGGATAATAAGCCACTGTTGTCACAGGAACTTCAAGCTGTTTAGAGATGGTCTTATAGCCTTTACCTTTAAGATGTTTGTCTATAATTTTTTTTCGGATGTCCTGGGAGAATTCTCTCCTTCGCTTTCTGTTGTCCATGTTCAGTGTGGTACTCCCCTTTTCACCAAACAGCAGAGTGACTACTTGTCTCCCTTTAAATAGGCAGACTGACTGATTATGAGTTTGGAAACACCTGTGATGTCAATTAAAGGACACACCTGAGCTAATCATGTCACTCTGGTCAAACAGTTTTCAATCTTTTATAGAGGTACCATCATTTTTGTCCAGGCCTGCTTCATTAGTTTGTTTTTTAAATAATTGTGTTAATCAACAATTCAAAAGTGATGGCTGATTGTTTTCTTTTCAATAAATTTTTGTTTACTGTTACTTTTGTAAGTTTCGAGTGATTTCAGTGAGAATTGTGGGTTTTTCCTTCTTTAACTGAGGGGTACCAACAATTTTGTCCACGTGTGTATAGAGTAATAAACAGCGCGTCTACTTCCTAGAAATGTACGAAGTCATTCATGAATATCATTAAAAGACTCATCACTTGCTGTGATAGATCCATGTAACACAACATCTGACAACCCAATCTTGCTTTACAGATAACAAGTAGACCTGGCTGAACAGATATGAGCAGGATGAGTCCGGTTTAAGGTCTAGAGATAACTACACACACATTTGAGCCAAGTAAGATTTGGATTCACATAGGAAGAAAAACATTCTTGCTGATATCTTGATTACACTCAGATCTTGAGTGAATCTAATCAAAGACAGCCCTGAATTCTGTTGCTATGGCTACCCCATGCTTTCAGAAAAGCCGTAATCTACAGCCTGAAAGTATGTTGTGAATTGCCATTTAGTTCACAAATAACGTCCAACTTTGTAGTTGTTACAGGTTTAGAGTAAAGAAATTTTTAACATATTCATGTTTCTACTTAGTCCTAACGGAATTGTGTCGGTTAATGGTTCTTTTTTCAATTTTTTTGTGCTGTTCGGGGCTGTAGGCTTGGGAGACTCTCTGGAAAGAGTGACGATGAGTGTTTTCACATTGGGACATGCTTCTGCATCTTTATATCAGAGGTTTTTAAATTGTTACATGAACATGGACGTCAGGCGGTGGAACGAACAATGAATGAATGCCGTACACACCAATCCAAATTGAGATTCCTCTGATGGCTTCTCATCTGGGTCAACAAAGTATTGATGCAATGACGCTCCCTGCCTGAAGATGGTATTTACGCAACAACAGATGTCTAGAAAAGAGAGGGTTTGTGCCGCACTATTTCTTTACAGACTTTCAATGGTCATTCTCCTTGCAAAAAACAGATCTAATATGGTGATCCGAAACGTTTTTTCTATGGAACCACTTGTCCAGGCAGATTTGTGAGCTTCCGTTGGCGCTCATGATGTATTGCACAGAACTTTGGATCAAAAATTAGGATTGGTGTGTTGAGGCCTTTGGTCCGACAGTGATTTCACAAGCAAGGACAGTCATTAGATACAGTGCACTGGTGTCAAGAATGTGAATGGTGCTAAGTAATGTGCTCTGGTATTGAGAATGCATTCTAGTGGTTCCAACTAAAGATCAACAGGCAGAGAAAATGGCCCAGGCACTCTACAGGATCAGTCTTCCAAGTCGAATCCATTCTGACCAAATTGGAAATTTGAGTTCCTCTTGATACGACAGCTGTATATACATCATGGCATGGAGGAGTTCCGTACTACTCCTCATCATTGTTTCTGCTACTTTTATGAAACTATGAACCTGTTTGCTCCATTATCTGGAGATTATTGCATTAAAGTGTGGTGTTTAGGTTTTTTATTCACCACCACTGTCCCGAGGAACATACAGCCCAGAAACCAGATTACAAAAGAAGCTTCTTTATTGATGATTCACGGTGAAAACAACACAAGCACTGTGTTCTCAATGTGCCAAACATGCCATAAAAAGAATCTCAGGTCCCAGTTTTACCATGAAGACAATTCTCTAGTGTGTCAGTTGTCTACACAGTAAAATCGTAAGAGTTAAATTAACTCTACTCTGAGTATATTTGGTCCCACTCTATATAGAGTTAAACCGACTCTGAGAAAGAGTAATTTAACAATCTATTTTCTTCATGTTTTTCCAAATCTGCATGGAAAATGCAAACTAAATATTAACTATTCAGAGAGGGACCAAGTCCACTCCAGAAAGAGTAAAAACAGACAAAAATAGACTGTTTAGTTCAAATAGACTTATTTAAATAACTCTCCTTCAGAGTTGGTTTAACTCTATATAGAGTGGGACCAAATACACTCTGAGTAGAGTTAATTTAACTCTTAGGAGTTTACTGTGTATCTGCAGGTTAGTTTGTCATAAATAAATTGATCAAATATCTTCTTGATATAATAACTTTTTCAGAAATGGATTTTATTTTTGGTTGTCAGTTGAAGAACTGTTTTTTTTTCAACAAGATAAAAATGCCTATCAGGATTATTCCAATGTTTCTGTCACATTGTATGTCCAGGTTAGAATCTCTTCCCCTGTAAGGCTTTCTCATGTAGTATTTAATACCAGTCCACATCGACCGTAATCTAGTCATGAATGAAATAAATGACCTCTTCATAGCCTTATTTGTTCTGATGTGAAGAGTAGGTTAAAAAGTAAAAAGGCTCAGTGTTTGCATAGTCTCTCTACTTGATGTCCCTGAGGGTTAACTGCCAGCCTGGTAAAACTGCCAGCTCCAGGACTGCATCTCCCCTTACTCCTCTTTTTTATTTGAGGTAACTTTGTGTAATGACTACTTGTGTTATTTTTAATATATGTTGTTGACATTGGTCTAACTGTCTGGGAAATATAATTATTTACATAAGGTCTCTATTTACAATTAAAATCTCATTCAATCTCTTTATTTTCTTAGCCAAGGCTCCAGATATGGGTAGAGATTCGGAAAAGTACTGCCCTGTTACTCATTACTCATCTATTGGTTACTGATTTGCATATTCATGACATGATTAGACTGAATAATTGCAGGGTTAGG